AGAGCAAATTCCAGAACAGCCAGGACTGTTACACAGAGAAACCTTGTCTCGAAAAACCAAACATATAAATAAATACTATAAACTTAATATATATGTAATCTCCTGCTTTTGTTTTTCTGGAGGACCCTGACCATTACAAACCCCTATTGGCTGCATTTCCCATTTGTCTTGATCTGTATGCTGTAACAGAATTCATGAGACTGGGTAGTTATAACGAAGCTTACTTGGGGCTGGTGAGATGACTCAGTGGGGCAAGCCTGAGGACCTGAGTTCGGTCCCCAAAACCCACATGGTGAAGAAGCACCCAATCTCACAAGTTGTTCTCTGACCTCTACATGTGTGCTTAGCACCTGATCAGTTCCTAGTGAGCACCCCATGATGTTTATATATGGCGGAAGAGCAGAACTGGAATCTAGCATGTGCCAAAAAGGGAGAGAAGAAGCTACTTTTTTTTCCCCCTGAGACAAGGTTTCTCCATGTAGTTTTGGTGCCTGTCCTGGATCTCACTCTGTAGACCAGGCTGGCCTCAAGCTCACAGAGATCCGCCTGCCCCTGCCTCCCAAGTGCTGGGATTAAAGGCGTGCGCCACCGGGCAGAAGCTGACCTACTTTATAGTAACCTACACTCCTGAAAACTTGCCAATCTCATGACAAAGACATTGATTGCCTTTTTTTAAAGTTTGATTGCCTTTTTTTAAAGTTTCATAGTTTTTGACAAAATAACACTGGTCTCAAAGATAATGAAGTGATAGAATATTCTAAATAAAAGGATATGTGGGGCTCCGAAAACAATTTGGTATTTCTCAGTTTATTACTTCTAGTATTTGTTTGGGTTGGGAGGTGGATGTGTGGAGATGAGAGGTCAGCGTTCAGGAGTCAGTTCTCTTCTACCATAAAGGTCCTGGAGCTAGGACTCGGCCCGCAGTTTGGTGGTGGTACCTTTCCTCCCTGAGCCATCGTGTGCCTTTCTTAGCCACTGTGTGTGAACGGGGGCATGGGCCATGGCACGGATAAGGACGTCAGAACAACGTCAGGACTCAGTTCTTTTCTCTATGGGTTCCAGGTATCAAACTCGGGTCTGGAGGCTTGAGTTGCTGGTGCTCTTCTCACCCAGCCATCAGAGCTGCTGGCATTGATTCCCTCTGAAAGGCCTCCGTTCATCCGGGCTTGTCATTGGCAGCCGGCACAAACCAACCACATCAGAACCATAGCAATGCTAGACTATCCCCTTGATGCTTGGTCAGAGTGTCACTTTATTGAGATTATGTGCAACTGAATTATTGTCATCATACTTTTATTAAATTTGGAATCACAAATCTGAGGACACTCAGGAACATTTACTTGACTGAGAGTATTTACACTTTTTGGGTTTTTTTTTAAAATGCCATAATATTTTGTTGAAAACTGGACATTTTAGATAATAAAGGGAGTCTTGAAAGTTTTAGGTGTTCGATCACTTGATTATACTAAGTGACTTAACCTGTTTTATACTGTGATAATAGATGACCTGAGGCTAGGCATTATAACTGAACAGAAATGGATTTCTTACAATTCTGGAAGCTGTAAAGCCCAAGATTAAGAAGCAGCCCTAGAAAGGGCTTGCTTGCTGCATCATTTTGTGGTTATCCATCATATGGTAGGAGAGCAAAGGGAGGGCAAGAAAAGAGGGTTGGGGCAGAGAGACGGCTCAGTGGTTAAGAGCAACTGCTGTTCTTCTAGAAGATCGAAGTTCAGTTTCCGGCACTCACACAGGACAGCTCACAATTGCCCATAACTCCAGCCCCCAGGGATCCAACAACCTCGTCTGGCCTCCGTGGGCATCCACACTCTTCATGTGTAAACAAGCTCGCAGGCATGATTGTACACAAAAATAAAATTTAAAAAATAAAAAGAGGTCAAACTCCTCCTTTTGTAAGGAACTTACTTACAGGAACAACTTACTCCCGCAATAATAGTACACTAGAATTTTGGTGTGTGATGTTTTATTTATATGCAAGGGGTTTTTTGTTTGTTTGTTTGTTTTGTTTTTTGTTTTTCTGAGAGGGTTTCTCTGTGTAGCTTTGCGCCTTTTCCTGGAACTCACTTGGTAGCCCAGGCTGGCCTCGAACTCACAGAGATCCACCTGGCTCTGCCTTCCGAGTGCTGGCATTAAAGGCGTGCACCACCACCGTCCGGCTATATGCAAGTTTATGATAAAGTTTATTTTAAAAATAAGCAAAAATGGAAACACATAAAGGCAGAGCGCTCATAGCTATAGCCTTATCAATTCTGTGAAGCCCCACCTTTTACCCAGCAAGTGGATCACTGGTTCGAGACCACCCTGAACTACATAAGATCCTATCTCAAAGAAACAAAAACAAGGGTAGAGTGATTGCCTCGCTTGTAGAAAGCCCTGGGTTTGATCCCCAGCACCCCAGAATATACTGGATATGGTCATACAAGCCTATAATCCCAGCACTGAGGAGGTAGAGGTAGGAGGATCAGAAAATAAAAATCATCCTCAGCTACATAATGAGTTCAAGGCCAGTTGAGATTCCTTAGACCCTGCCTCAAAATAAACAAGCCTGGTGTGGTGGCAAATTCCTTCCTTGTAGGAGGTAAAGGTGGGTGG